TCCCAATTTTAACCTATGGTAATATAGTTTATTATTATTGCCTTGAGAAGCTAACGCAATACGACTTCAAAAAATTCAAAACAGCTGTTGCAGATTTGTTTACCGGATAAAAAATATGATAGGGTGTCAACTAAAATAAAGGAGCTTGGTTGGCTTCGATGTGAAAACTTGTATAAGAATCACTTGTCCGTATTTGTTCAAAATATCTTAATTGCTGATTCTCCTCCTTATCTCCGAAAAAAGCTAGTTTTTAGGCGCAATATTCAAGACGCAAATCTAAGATTTATCAATTGCCTCTCACTACCAAGATATTATTCAGCCATGTTTCAAAGATAGTTTTCTTATAATTCTGTAACTGTTTACAATAATACAACACCTCAGTTAAAGCCTCTCCCTGTAAGCAATTTCCGGAAAAAAATCAAGTTACACTATTTTTTCCCTTCAATAATCTCCTGTGATTTGCCAGTCAATTATTTTTAATTCAATATATTAAAACAATTTTTTTTCTTATTTATTATATAAGCACATATAGGTGCTACGAAATGTTTCATACATGCTCATAACATGAGATTGTTATTATTTTTTTTGCTGATCAGGTTAAACATTTATTTTTTTTCTTTCTAAAGTTATACATTCCTCAAATTTTTACTTTTTATGTTATATATTTTAATTGTTAGGTTAAGTTGACTAGCCATAGGCTAGACTTCGCCTTTTGTAACAAAAATTGTACAACAATTTTTCATACAATAAAGACGTATTATTATTATTATTATTATTATTTATTATTTCTAAGGTCGTCATCAACGTGGAGTTTCAATATCAGCGAAGGGGTGATAAAATTTTACATAGTAACAAGCTGAATAAAGTTTTAAAATATGTGTTTGCTACCACTCTCCTCTTTATCTACTTTTTAAACTTCCTGGAAGTGTAAATCAGATAATATAATTAATGATTGTAATGTTAGCTCGTCCCTTCAAAATAGAAGCAGTAGACCAACTGGGAGTCGAAGTTTTGAAAAGTGCTTTTAGGTATTTTTTGTTTGAGAACTTCCAGTGTGAATTAAATATACTTTACGTAGTTTGCTTAAAAGTTTGATTGTTCAAGCTTTACAAATTGTGGATACTAATCCGTAAGATAAATATCGTCAGAAACTACTTTTCACTAATCCCCAATTCACGTATTTCGGGCATGCTCTTTGCCGCTACGATTCCGCCATCGAGTGCATTTCAATGATCGGATATGATACATGAGACAGAGAATGAACTGAACTGCTTTTAATGGATACCTCCTCTCAACAATGAGAGTTGAGTTTAGCGGAATCACGGGCCGGTCTTAGACCCACTCGAGTATCGTTCCTACATGGGTTCCTTTATTGGCTCGCTTACATGTGCCTTTTAATCGACTATCGTTCATTCAATCTGTTTAGGTTTCTGCCCGTAATTAAGTTGTTTATGTTAATTAAATTTTGTAATCCTTCGCACACGAGTTGCTGCATATGAAATGGGCGCTGTAAAGCATTATCCCCTATTTCAAAGAAATAGAGACGAATACACATTTTATTGAGGCAACTTTTTTTTGGAAATCAAACTTGTTGAATGAAATTCAAGGTATTGATGATATTCATAATATTGGTTGCTAATACTCCACACCAACTCTATTGGATTATATTGGCAGCGGTAAGGTGGCAATTTTGTGATTAATGACCGTGTTCTTGGAGCAATTTGTCTATGGGATACTTTGACTTTTGTCTTGTCTGTAATCAGGAAAAAATCTGCTGCTACAAGCATAACTAGGACGCAGAGACACATATTTCCTATATATCAACAGGATCGATCAGACCTTCACTGACGATAGTGAATTTGTTAGTGATTTTTTTGTTTTTGTCTGCGTTACTGATATGTACAAATATTATTCTTTTTATTCTATATCAGAACATCTTTGTTAATTCATTACAGCAGCAAGCCCCAGTTAACGTTTATATCTCCCAACTATGATAAATATTCATTGTTGTATTGTCAGCTGTAGAACCTTAAGATAGAATGGTAAAATTATTAACAGCTGGTACGGTTAGGTGGTGTTTACCCCACATACTTTCTTCGGAGTAATGCGGCCGCTTTTGACCTTCAAATTTGGCATATGCTGTTTATTAGTCCCGCGGAATTACTTATGATATTTAATACATGGTCTCACGTATTAGCTCCCCTATCTTTGAAATTAGAAATCGAAATAAAGTATCAGAGCTTACCATTGTAATTAACCCGAATGCATTTGTTAATTAGAACGTAGTTATGTAGAGGCCCTGAGACAAATCGCTGTTTTAAGGCTGGCAGAAATGTACAGCGGGAAAAGCTGCACGCATCATAATAAGTAAAGCTGTAAATCGTTTCTGTGTATCATGGTCGTAGAGTACAGATGTACTTACTGTCGCCGGCATTCACCTTGACCGCGAAACTCCTTCTCCAATCCAGTCTATTATTAGCTTTCGCGTTGTGTACACGTTAAGTCATTTGGGCGTATTGCATATTGTTTTTGTATTTTTATTTTATTTGTTGTACTGTATTGTTGATATTAATTTAATAATAAAGCATGGCAGCCCCGTTCGTAGGGGTAGAAAACGGCCATTTGCTGACAAAGTGAATAAATTCATAGGTGAATTCTCGGATTTATTCTATGACAGTGCTAATATAATTTGTAAAGTGTGCAAGAAAGATTTGATGTGTTGGGATACGCGTGATTGTGGACTTCACGTAAATAGTGTACACCATAAAAATAAAAAAAATGGCGTGCCTTGGACAACACAGTTTATGTTTGATTTACTGTTAATGCTGATTGCCTGTGATCTTCCGCTGTACATACTTGATGAACAACCATTTCGAGTTCTGGAATAAAAAAGGTTTTTAGTTCAAACTTAGTTGTAAACACAAAAACATCATCGATTAGTGTAAAACAGTAAAAAAGTGATATGCTCGCTATACGCACAAATTATTAATTAAGTAGCATTATTGTAAACTATAAAGTGCCACATCGGATTATTTTTTCATTTAAGTCATTGCATTGAAAAAAGGTGGAAAACAGCCACCGAAACGTTTGTGAAATGTGTTTATGAATAAATAGACAATTTAGATTTTCATTCATATCTGTCATTAAAGAACCAAAATCCCAAAAAACACAATTGCTATATATATATATATATATATATATACATATATATATATATATATATATATATATATATATATATATATATATATATATATATATATATATATATATATATATATATATATATATATATATATATATATATATATATATATATATATATATATATATATATATATATATATAAAGTAACAGTAAGGTGCAAATTCAAGTTAAGTCACTGCGTAGTAGTAGTAGCTACTTATTTTACTAGACAAGTAGGCCACAATGGGCCCTTTTTACCTAGGGACCTACAGTTTAGCGTGGACTTCGAACCACGGTCCTCGACTGTCAACTAACCCACCGCCTGGGCCTGCCCGCCTGCACCGCTAGCAGAGTGGCAAACCTCTCTTCGACCCTCCACCCGGGCTCGCCTCTCCGCCTGTATCAGACTAGCGGCCTTCCCGGGATTGTCTGTTGACAGCCTATCGACTGTTAGATGACCTATTGTTCATCCATCCAATTGCCGGACTCGATCAGTGCTGCTTAACTTCACTGATTGAATATCGGATATTAAACGGATGCCCATACCTCATCCCCACAAGTCACTGCGTAACTTAGAGCAAATCACTACATACTTTTACATTATACCTTTAGGTTATATAATACCAAATACCACTTATTTATTATTACATTATATGTACGCCAAACGTGATGTCACGCCCGGTAATACACACGGCTGTTGCAAACATAGCATTGCTTTCTAATGTAAGGTTCACCTATACTGCTCCAACATATTCATTGATAATAACTCCTTGCCTGAGAATTTCATGCAGTATTTATCCTTACCTGACCCAATATCTACATTTATATAAAGTAATAAATTTTGTTGTTGATTTAAGCTAATGTTTGGACATCCACTAAAACCAAGGGAACCTGCTTGCGAAGTTGCGCCCTTTCTTTTGATATATAAACACTTGTATAATAGTAAAATTAAAACCTACCCGCTCACCGACTGGAGCTGAGCTATCCCTCGGCAACCCTTTGTGACGGACTCTCGCACTTCAAACACTATTATTAAATTTTATACACAAAACCCCCGTCACACCAGATATACCGAATAACAAAGCAACCTATAAAAAGTACCAAAATTTAATCAAATTGAAAATTAAAATTTCTATAGAGAGAACAATACCTTCATCATTAGATATTTATCATTAAGTGCATGAATTAAAATATGTTTCCTTTCAAATATCTTCCCTTTTTTTCGGCTTAATCAAGATAAACCTCAATGTTGAATACCTGCTTTATCAAAGAAGATATCTTGTAAATCTTTCCCAAATCAAAAAAATAAGCAAATGCAATATTTTTATTAACACCACGACCACCTTTTTCTTTTCCCCACTCATCAAGTTTTCGGTACCCTTGCTCATATTTTTTCTGCGATTTATGTGGTAATAGGTTAATTGTTGCATCTTTAGCTTCTTCTAGGATCACTCAGGTATTTAATATAATATTTTATTTGCACTAATATATGGTGGCGACGGTCCATCCTGTTGTAAAAGGTATACCTCAAGATTTTCCGCTTTATTTTCCCAGCTATTATTTTTAACACGCTTTTATTAGCTTCACCTGTATGTTTGTTTGTAACCGACTCTTTGGACTCGATTTTGACCCACTTTAAACGGACAGATTTAATTGAAACTTTGTGCACTTACGAAGAACCGGTAACAATAATTTGATAAGTTTATATCATTATCCTGATCAGGATCGCCAGAATTAAATAATTTCCTTTCCTCACGTATCCTCTGCGTGAGAGCAAGAGGCTTAATACTGTAAGTACATTCCGTAATTCTCAGTTCGGTCGTTGGCCGAGCGGGCTAAGGCACAAGTTTTAGTCGACGCGAAACGACGGACTTCTCGGGCGTGAGTTCAAATCCCATGGCTGAAAAAATATATTTTTTTTTCAGAAGTATCTGTTGGATCGTAATATGTTATAATATCAGCATCAATAAGCAATATAAATATAGTTTAAAAAAACTAAAAAACACGCTTTTATAGCACATCAAACTAAAAAGTGAAAAATAAATATAGTTTAAAAAAACTAAAAAACACGCTTTTAAAGCACATCAAACTAAAAAGTGAAAAATAATTATTAATATAAACTGAAAACAATAATGAACGAAAAATACTAGTATTATTGTGGAAAAAAGCGTGGGGCGCTTTGTGCCATATTTTTCGTATATCGAGCAACCCACGCTTTTTTCACAATAATACTAGTATTTTTCGTTCATTATTGTTTTCAGTTTATATTAATAATTATTTTTCACTTTTTAGTTTGATGTGCTTTAAAAGCGTGTTTTTTAGTTGTTTTAAACTATATTTATTACTTATATGGTCACGATCTGATGTAAAACCAATTTTTCCTTGCCAATTATTTAATGGAAATGGTTTACCTGTATTGAAAAATTGTTTTAAAAATCACAAACACCAAGAGAAAATAATAAGAATGTACTAAATCCACAAGAAAACAACAAATACATTGCGTTCATTTTGTGTACTGGCATAAACGCTTTAATACATTTTGTAGAAATAAGCAGCCCAAATTTAGTAATTTTATAAATTACCATTTCCAGAGGGACAACTAATAAAGATAGCAGCCCCGATGTAATTTTACTCCTAAGTTCCTTTTACATTTACTACATAACATAAAACACCATGTAAAATACTGATAAATTGCCCTAAGTAACTTGTAAAATGGTTAAATCATTCAACGCAAAAGTTCTGTGGCATTAATATGTGCACTCAGGCAAATGCATTTACCCAAAGTGCATTGAATCTCAGGAGATAAATCTCGTTAGGATGTATGTTTCCTCTAAGTGAGAAGCTTGTGTTGCGGTCGCTCCAGTTAAGATGTGCTAGTGTGGTTTGAGACGCTTCGCTGTACGTATTAACGACAGAATTGCGGCGTGTATCTCCATATCTGCCTCGCCAACGAGCATTGTTCAAAGAAGAATACTCGACGAATATAAAAACATTGTTTAAAGATCGCGTTTTCTTTTGTTTTTCATAGATTGTATAAAACGCCTTGACAATGTAGTGTTGCATGAACATAAAGTTAAATACATGTTCTACTTTATTTTAGAAATACAAGACAATTAAATATACAGAATGTCCCATGTGCATTGCTTACTATTAGGATCACTGTCCTAAAGGTTAGAAAATCAAGTTACCAGTCAAGGTTGGACAGGGAATATAGTCTCACGCTTTTCAGTAGGGAAGAGTGGAATGACGGGAGAATTGACTTCCAATCGAACTTTCTGTTGTGCTATACAGTAGGTTCTCGTATGGCCGCCAGTCAATCTTCTGGGGCTGAAACATATCTGGAAGATAGAGAAGTGAAGGAGAGCTTTGCTCTAGGATCTTATACCACGGTCTCCAGGCCTAGGCCATCCTAGCGATGGTAGGTAAGAGAGTGTCTCTCTTCAGGGTGAGATCAGCAGGATAAACTACAGGATAACTTTCATATAAACGGTTTTTCGGAAACTGAAGTGTATGCAAGTTAAAAAAAAATTAAACCGAAATTTACCACTGGATTAGACAATATTCCTGCATTTCTTATTAGAGACTATGCCTGTATATTTGCATATCCTCTAACAATCCTCTTTAATTTATCTATTAAAACTGCTGTCTTTCCAGAAACTTGGAAAATCTCTATAGTTGTCCTTGTCTTCAAAAAGGGAGATGTGCCATAATGCAAAATTACAGGCCTATTACTATAATTAATAACTTCTCTATAGTTTATGAAATCTGGTGTATGAATATATTTTCTTTTACATGAAACATCGCATCGAATTCTTTAGATGCCTAGCTTCAGACAGATTTATACAGATTTACAGCAGTTCACGATACGCCCCTGCTTACAACTGATGTGCTATCTGTTGAAGAGGATGCGCGTACCCCGGCATTTCGCGACAAGTAGGATACCGGGCAGTATGAGAAAGTTAGTGGCACGTGTCCTCAGCTCAGACCCATGACAATTAGATTTATAATTCTTTTATATGTTAGTATGTGTTAGTTTCGTTTGTTTTGCATTAAATATAGTTAAATTATAAGTAGGTTGTTTGCCTAATCAAACCCTGACCGCTTACAGATTTCTCAAATGCATTCGATAGACTGGATCACAGTAACTCATTAATAAAATTTTAGAGTTATAGATTTTCGCAAAATGTGTTAAACTTTATTACATCGTATTTATCTGACTGGAAACAATTTGTGCAATGCTGTGGAGTCCAGTCTGTTGAAATACATGCCACTTCTGGAGTTCCTCAAGGCTCGAATTTAGGACCCTTACTTTTTAATATCTTAATAAATGACATTATATCTAGTTTAAATTGTAAATACTAATTATATGCGGATGATTTAAGGATTTATTCTATTACATATTAAAAACATTGAAACTTGTTTTACCTTGCACTGAGAATAAATTACCTTTAAACATCTCGAAATGCAATGTTATGACATTTTCTAATAAATAGTATTGTAATTACAAGGCCTACTGTCTTTCGAGACCTAGGTATAATATTTGATGGCAAACTCTCTTTCATAAATCATGTTAATAGTATAACATCAATGAACTTTAAAATGTTAGGCTCTATTATAAGAAATTCCCGTGAGTTTAATAATGCAGATATGCTGAAATTGCTTTAAAACACTTTTGTGCGATATAAGTTTGAATATGCAGCTACTATTTGTTGTCCTTATTATAATATACATGTTAACAGTACTGAAAAGGTACAGCGAAAGTTCTTAAAACACGCTTGTTTCGTAGAGGATGGATTATACCTAGCTATTGGATATCCGATTCCATACATGCTGGAAAGATTTTCCTTAGTCTCGAAAAAAGACGGGTGAAATCTCAGTTAACCTTCTTAAACAAAATAATAACTAATGACATTGAGTGTCTCGATATATTACAAAAATGTTAAATTTTCGTGTTCCCAGAGTAACCGCAAGGCAATAATTGACCTATACTATGAGTATACCTTATACAAATATTGATAAATTTTCGCTTTACATCAAATGTTCAATAATTATAATGAACATCAACATATTCCTGATATTTTCTTCTGTAATGTTGCCACAATAAAAAAATTGTAAAGCAAATATTTTTTTCTTGAATACATTTGTATATTTTAATTATATATATATATATATATATATATATATATATATATATATATATATATATATATATATATATATATATATATATATATATATATATATATATATATATATATATATATATATATATATATATATATATATATATATATATATATATATGCAAATTTATTCAAGAAAAAATATTTGTTTTACAATTTTTTTATTGTGGCAATATTACAGAAGAAAATATCAGGAATATGTTGATGTTCATTATAATTATTGAACATTTGATGTAAAGCGAAAATTTATCAATATTTGTATAAGGTATACTCAAAGTATAGGTCAATTATTGCCTTGCGGTTACTCTGGGAACACGAAAATTTAACATTTTTGTAATATATCGAGACACTCAATGTCATTAGTTATTATTTTGTTTAAGAAGGTTATCTGAGATTTCACCCGTCCTTTTTCGAGACTAAGGAAAATCTTTCCAGCATGTATGCAATCGGATATCCAATAGCTAGGTATACTCCATCCTCTACGAAACAAGCGTGTTTTAAGAACTATCGCTGTACCTTTTCAATACTGTTAACATGTATATGATAATAAGGACAACAAATAGTAGCTGCATATTCAAACTTAGATCACACAAAAGTGTTTTAAAGCAATTTCAGCGTATCTGCATTATTAAACAACTCACGGGAATTTCTTATAATAAAGCCTAACATGTTAAAGCTCTCTGATGTTATGCTACTAACATGATTTATGAAAGAGAGTTTGCCATCAAATATTATACCTAGGTCTCGAAAGACAGTAAGCCTTGCAATTACGATATTATTTATTAGAAAATGTCATAACATTGCACTTCGAGATGTCTAAAGGTTATTTATTCTCACTGCACCAAATATTAAGGTTTTCCAAATCTTTCTGCAGGGTAAAACAAGTTTCAATATTTTTATTATGTAATAGAATAAATCTTTAATTCATCCGCATGTAATAAGTATTTACAATTTAAATTAGATATAATGTCATTTATAAAGATATTAAAAAGTAAGGGTCCTAAATTCGAGCCTTGAGTAACTCCAGAAGTGGCATGTATTTCAACAGACTGGACTCCACAGCATTGCACAAATTGTTTCCTGTTCGATAAATACGATGTAATAAAGTTTAACACATTTTGCGAAAATCCATAACTGCATTTTATTAATAAGATACTGTGATCCAGTCTATCGAATTCTTTTGAGAAATCTGTAGGCGGTCAGGGTTTGATTAGTCAAACAACCTACTTGTAATTTAACTGTATTTAATGCAAAACAAACGAAACTAACACACTAACATATAAAAGAATTATAAATCTAATTGTAATGGTTCTGAGCTGAGGAAACGTATCACTAACGTACTCATACTGCCCTGTATCCTACTTATCGCGGGATGCCGGGGTACTCACATTCTTAAATACGATTTGAACGAAACAACTACTCAGCGGACAAATACCCCGACCTGCATTGGATTATACCTTCAAATCATGATAGATCATCAGCCAATATCTTTTGTCAATTCCTAACCAGACAGACCGGTTTCGAACTTATTAGTTCTCCTCAGTATGCCATACGTTGTGGAACAAACAAATGATAGTGGCCAACCTGCTAGTCATATAGTGACTAAGGTAAATTAAATAGTGGTGAGGGGTATGTCAAACTTCTCATATGGTCCAAATGCTACTATCCGACCGACATCATAGATGTCTCTGTGGCGGATAGCGACTTGCGAAGCAAGTACCGA